AACATGTGTTTGCACATATATTATATTATAATATATATATATATATATATATATAATATATGTATAATATACATATTATATATATATTATATATATTATATATATTATATATATATTTTATATATATATATATATTTTTAAGAAAAATTCATCATAATTAATAGGCTTGTTCATTCTTCTTTTCCTCTGCGGCAGTTGGAAATAGTGTTTCTGCTGTATGTCTCTCTCTCTCTCTCTCTCTGACTCTCCGTCTCTCGAGCCTTCCAAAGAGGGAATGTCCAGCGGTCTTGAAGCCTGAGCAATCGGCACTCCAGGCAGAAGGGCTTCGAGGCTGTATCGCCAAGCTACACCGAGAAAGACCGATGCCACGGCTTCACCTCCCAAGGCGTTGTGCTCCTGTAGAAGAAAAGAAGAGTTGCTGCAAATTTTTCCTACCACTTTGTCTCCTTGTCCTTGGGCAAAGTCTCGCTCATCCTCCTCCGAAAAACACACTTCAGCCGGAAGAAGTATAAACTTTTTCCGAGAGAGAACTGGTGAAAGCCTTGCCCGGGGCTCTGCGCCGTTCTCGGCGAAGCCTTTGAGAGCAAAGGGCCCGGAGGCGCCGCCCAGGTGGAAACGGTCCTCTCAGGCAAAGCCGAGAACCCAAGCAGCCTAGGGCCTATAGGGGCCTATAGGGCCTCTTCACCCCCCCATACAATAAAACACCACCACATCGAGAATCCGTAGAGAACGTGCCATGGATCGAGGAACGAGGTCCGTTGGGAAGTCCTGAGCGCAGCTCTTCCCAACGGGTAGAAGGAGGCCCATCACCTGAGCATTTCGCTCACGTACAACATGTATTCCCGGCAAGGAAAAAGCTGCTTGTGAAGAGGTGGAAGATTCTGCTGAACGGACCATGACAAACTGCAGCTGAGAACTCAGCAGCATTCATCCCTGTAGTGGTGCTTCGAAGGCTGAGCAAGGACTGCGTGTTCATGGGGGCTTGCACGGCCGAATGACGAACTGGCGAATTCGCCCCCTCCTTCGGACCCAAGAGTTCTACTTTCTCCCGCACCCGACGACTCTTCAGCTCGCAAGACCCTAAACCCTAAACCCTAAACCCTGACTGAGTATGTGCAGTCTGCAGCATCTAACTGCATAAATCGGAACTAACGAAATGCGACTTCAGGTAGAAGCTGCCTTGAAGACCGCACTGCTGGGTTCGAAGCCGTGTAACAAGCAGGGATAACATTTCGGCATGTTTCTGCTGAGTTCGGAACATAATGCAAAATCTGAGGCCATGCTAAACCGCGTTACATGCTTTAGTGGGTGCCAGAACAAGTCATGGATGCGGACGCTGCAGGCTGAAACTGTGCGACACCGAATTCAGTTGTCAATTCAATTCAATACCCACTTCGCTTACGCTTCCCCCTCAGTCGCACACTCGGCAGATTAATTCTCGAAACAAGCCCTTCAGCAGTGTGCTTGGGCCCTGCTAAAATCCCTGCATTCAGTGGAATCTCGGGGATGCTGGGAAATACCTTGGGGTGGCTCCGAAATACCTCGGGGTCATACCGTAGAACTTCAGGGTTTACGATCCTTAACTGCAAACCCTGAACCAAATTCTACCAGGAACCCCTCGCCTTTTTTGGGCTATGGCACCTAGGTAGATACGGGTATGGGGAAAAATTGCAATTTCTTAGGAGAAATATTTAATTTAGGTTGGTGGAGTGGGTGACCCCTCTCGCTTACCGAGTGGCGCCGGCAAGATGCAGGTGCCAAGGCCAGAAGTCGCCCGATTCTCTTGAGCGAATCGTTGCCTCTGCCAGTGCATGTAGCTTCCCAAAAGCCACGTCTCCTGGCCAGGGTTGGGAAGGGGGTTATGCTTAAACTGTTTCAACATTTACTCCTTAAACGCCGGAATGTTTAAACAAGCGGGCCCGCAGCAGAAGTTGCTTAAAAGACTGTCTAATCTGTTTAAATGCTGTTTGAACGCCAAACGGTTTTAACAAACAAATGCTTAAACGCACACACGTTGCAACATCTCTACTCTGAACTGTACCATACACTCACTCTACCTACAACCTTACCAAAACAAAGACCCAGACCGAAGTCTGTAAACATGAAGCGATTACGGATCTTCCTCTTAGACCCCGAGGCACTGACTAAGTTTAAACCAGCTTAAACGTTTAAACGGTTTGAACGGCCTAGACGTTGGAGCAGCACTTCTGAGGGTACGAGTATGAGAAGCGGGACGTTTGGGGCGTTTAAACGGCTTGAGCGTTTAAACGGTTTAAACTTCTGAAGGTACGAAAAGCAGGACGTTTGAGGCGTTTAAGCGCTCTAAATGTTTAACCGGGCTAAACCTTGGAGCAGCACTTCGGAAGGCATGAGAGGCAGGACTTTTCCGGCATTTAAGTGGTTTTAACGATTAAACGGACGGCTTAAATAAACGTTGAAGCAGCACTTCGGAGGGTATGAAATGCAGGACGGTTTACACGTTGGAGCAGCACTTCTGAAGGTATGAGAAGCAGGACGTTTCGGGCCTTTAAACGGTTTAAACTTTCTATGGTTTAAACGTTGGAGCAGCACTTCGGAAGGTATGAGAAGCAGGACATTTGGGGGCGCCGTTTCAACGTCGGAGCAGCACTTCTGAAGGTATGAAAATCAGGACGTTTGGTGCGTTTAAGTGGTTTAAACGTTTAGACGGTTTATGCGTTGGAGCAGCACTTTTGAAGGTATGAGAAGCAGGAGGTCGGGGGCGTTCAAATGGTTTAAACGTTGGAGCAACACTTCTGAAAGTATGTGAATATGAAAAGAAGGCCGTTTGTTACGTTTCAACGGTTGAAACCGTCAGAATGAGTTCAATAATGGAGGGGTGCTCCAGAGTGAGTGCCCTTCAACTTTAAGGTCTACTTCACCAATGTCTGCACTGCTTGGCACAGAAAAGCCCTCGCTGCCTCTCATCAGGTGTGTTGGAACACCAGGCACTCGCGAAATGTTTAAACATGTTCAAAGGAAATGTCTAGACATGTTTCAACATGCCGAACTCTGACCTGTGTTTTAAACTGTTTGTAGATCGGTGCAGAACCCCTTGGATTTCCTAACCAGAATATGACTCGTGTTCCAACAACCAATAATGGCAAGTATTCGCGGTAGTGATAGTATGACCAAAGTCTATGCCCGCAGTGGAAGGGTTGGCACCGCAGTGCTCAGTTAAGGTGGAGGTGAAAGGTGATTGATGCCAAGTTAATTGCAACGGGATGAGTTCAGCTAGTTTCTCGCTCAGGCTCAGACGCCCTAGGCTCATGTGTCTCCCAGATAACCCCTGGGTATGGGGAGCCCTGAGCCGGGGCCAGGCGCATTCCGAATATCTGACCTACTGTACGGGTCAGGCTAGAATTCATGTCCGCAATCCCTGGCAGCATACTGAAGCGGTGTGCAGAACACTGTTTAACGCTTCATACGCCTATGTAATGTTCAAACGATTTTTCAACTCCAAACGTGTGTTTGGCCCATCTCTGTCTCTCCTGGAGGTCCGGCAAGCTCTGCCGTGAGCTGAGTGTATCGGTAGGACAGGGAAGATTTGAGGCTGGTCTTCAAGGAGCGAAGGCGCTCCTGCTGAAGAGACAGTGAAGGCTGAGGCTGTCTCATGTCCAGATCTCTCAAGGACCAATCGGTGGTCAACCGCCAAGTCCCGTTCCAGAGCTTGCCGCTGACATGGCACAAGCTCTGCGTGGACAGATCCACATAGCCGCAGGCTGCGAGCTCTTTGCTTTGCCGGGCAAACTCCGTGCCAAAGAACAAGCCACGACGGGCTCGCTCCGAATCCAGACGCAAGGCGAACTCGGTGGAAACCGAGGAGCTGCCAAGCGAAGCAGCGGCCAAGACTCCATTGAACGGTTGCACGAACTTCAAGTCGAAGCAGGCGCTGCCTAGGCCAAGGGCTAAGGAGACAGGGGTTGGGGGCAAAGGGGGTGCTTCGCCGGCTCGGCCTTCCTTGTCCACATTGGCGCTCACCGTGCACTGCCGCCGAGCCTCTCAGGTGCATGCAGCCAGAGGCCTAAAGCGCCTGAAGCAACATGGCGCAGATAAAGAGCACCTGTGCCATGCTGCGAAGACTGTCCGGGGCATTGCGTCGCTATCTGCAGGCTCTTGTTGCACTTCGGGCGCTGGTGGGTGCTTGTCTGCTTGAACCAGGGCAGAAAGGACGAAGATCCACGCAAGTCGCTTCCTTCTGTGGCTTCGCGGCTTTTTCTCTGGGGACCAACAGAACTCCGGATCCCGATCGATCCGATCGGGGCTTCGCTGAGCCTCTCCGCGAAGGACCCGCTGCCGTCAGCTTCGCAGGGGGCCTGGCCACCGCTCGCTGCGCTGCAGCTCCGCTAGAACTGACTCCCGGAGAGAAAGGCCCCCATGATGTGTCTGCGCTCTTTTTTCTTTCTAGAGCGGCCGCTCTACATGACTCTGTCTGGCCGCAAGACGACGCGGAAGCCGCGGAAGTGCCGTCAAGGAAGCCTTTTGGCATGCAACGATTGCAGCTTTTGCAGCACTGCTACTGGTGGCAACAGTATCTCGGCGGCACCTGAGACGCCGCCCCAAACAGCATCCCGTCGGAGAAAGGACCTGCGAAGGCTTGGACAGATTAGACCTCGTCCATTGATCCAGCACCAGTCCATCAGGAATTCCTAGGAACATCAGCGACCACAACTCGTCGCACGCGGCGGTGGCGGGAACGCTGCGCGGCCAGCGGCAAGCTCAACACACCGAACGGCCAAAACGAAGAGCGCGAGAGTTTGCAAGAGCGGGCAAAACGCCTTCCAGGATCCGCCACGGCCTCTGCCGCCCCAACCGAATGCTGCTTGACTGCCCATGTGAAGCACAACATCGACTATTCACAGAATGACGAGACATGTCTTCTCCCTGTCGACTGAGAAAGCTGAGTGGGAGGAAGAGAGGGACGCTGGTGATGGGTACAAAAGGTATCGACTGAAAAGGTTGACGATGATGCTGAAGTTACGCATGAGCCAGGCGTCCGGTCGATTTATGGGCTTCGAATGAATGTGCAGCACCACCGCCACCCAATGAAGGTTGTGGGAAAACTAATTAATTGTGCTCACCATGCTTGCTTCACCATGCGCTTTGGCAAGTGAGGTGATATCGGCCTGTGTGCGCAGTTCCGGGTTTAGTCGGACTCATGATGCCCAGAGACTGAATTTAAAGATGCGGCTATTGCCGGACAGCCCTAAAAAGGCTTGAACATTTGCTCGGCGAATCGTCTGAGCAATTGCGTACTAGCGGATCTTATAGCAGGCCTGGCTCTGCTGGCTCTGGGATCGTGGAGGCGAGCTCGAAGGCACAGACTCGGACTCCACCACGGCCCTGGCGAGTGCCCCCTTTTCTACTCTGGCGCTGGCATGCGCTGGCTTGCAAAAGGGGCGGTGCCTGGCTCTCGGAGAAGACTCGTCACCTGCGGAGCGGGGTGGAGCTGCGCTCTCAGCCGCGCCTGCAGACCGGGGCCCCGACACCAGAGAATTGCATCCAAATCGAGATGCTCATCCTGGGAAGGGCACACGGGTTCGGCAGATTCTGTGCTCAGTGTCAAGGCGAGCACCAGCGCCGGGAGCTTGGGCAGGTCGCCTAGCAAAGCGACGCACAGCGAAAACAATATGGGGCGTCCCGGAAAGGGCGCCTGCAGAGTTGCCGAGAATCAACGTCCGAGCCTCAAAAGCGAGTGCGAGGGGATGAGCAGCGATGCGGAGAGACACACCGCACTGCGGAGTTTTTGCGGTGCGGCCTTGGGTCGATAGACCTCGCTGTCCATGGCGAAGCCCAGAGCAGCCGCGATGCCAGGCAAACCTCCTCCAGACCCCCTAAAAAGAGGCAAGTCTCCGTCTTTTGTACTGTAAGGAGCGCAGCTCCGTTCCGCGGCATCCGCGGCTCCTCCTCCTTGCCAAAGTCGGAGCAGAGTAGCCTCAGAGTGCTGAGGTTGGCCGCTAGGCAGAAGGACTGAGATCCAAGGGCACGACAATCTGAGGCTTCACATCCAACGGCACCTGGAGCTTCAACAGATTTCAGAATTGCAGTTCCGCCATCGTGTTTGTCGGTAGTGAGATTCTCCTCTTTCCTTCTCTGTCTCATTCTCAGTGCTTCTGTCCCTGCTCGTAGTAGCTTGCCTCGTGCATAAAGCATGCGAGTACCCGCAGACGCACCAACGTGTACCCGGCTTCCTGGAAATGGCGCAGCGACACGCCACATGCTCGAACCAGCTTCGGTCACTGCTCTGCTTCTTTCTCTGTCTTCTGTCCTCACAATGGGTAGATTCGTTTCAAGACGGACTCTCATGCCACTCTTCTCTGGCACCTCGCAATGCTTCATGAAAGTGTAGGGGGGCACACGACCATACCATGCAAATGCATATCAAGGAAGCAAGGTGAACACAAGGCATTTCCGCATCGACTGAGGCACCAGAGCCAGGGGCCGGAAGGCACAGAGCCTCGTCTGGTAAGAAGAGTGTAAAAAACGGCGCTGGCTCTGTGTCTCTCTGGGGTCGCTTGGCTCGGGTCACGGCACGTCCGGGTCGACCAGCAGCGCCCGGCAAATGGAGAAGACCTCCAAGCAGTTTTCCAGCCCGGAAGCAAAAGGGGTTCGGCGTTTCTTAGAAGCCGTGGAGGACATGGAGCTCTTGCTTCTAGCCGACGCCATGAGCACCAAGGCCGGAGCTGTGGTTTGCAAACCACAGCTCCGGCGCTACGCCACTACGCTTATACTTATACTGTAACGACATGAGCCGCAGCATCTTCCCAACGATCCGTTTTGCGCCCCAGGCAAGCTTCGAGCAAGGAGCAAAGTGCTGAAGTCAACATGCTGACAATGCTGACTCATCTATATAGCATATAGAGAGAGCGCGCTTAATCCCCGGAAACCTAAGGCATTCTCGCATATAGAACCCTGAATACCGCGGCTATGCGGAGCCGCGCCTGGGAGGACCCCGGGCCCAGGCTTTGGGGCTCGCGACTGTCCAGTCCCACGGCCGCCAGCAGTGCTTCGCAGAGCTCCAGCGGTGCGCCGGTAAAACTTAGCCTCAGAATCGAAACAGCTCTCAAGGGACAAAGCCTGCGGGGTTTAAAACCCCGGAGCAGCAGCAGCGCGGCTTCTTGTCTTCCCAAGGAGCTGCTCCACAGTGGAGTGCCCAGTTCCGAAAGTAACAGGCACAGTGGGAAGCATCTTCAGTGTCAGGCCTGGTGCGCAAGGCCAAGAATGTATTTAAAGCATGTGTTGAGGCATCAGCTCTCAGACTTGCCCTCATCTCTCTTTCCGAGGGAGGCTCCCGGTGGGACCAGCACCGAAGGTGTCTTCAGCGATGCTTCTTCGCCCAGAGGACCTCGACAAAACGCGAGGGACTGGCAGATTTATGCATTTGGGCGGTCAGGTCAGGCTCTGGCCGGTGGGGAGGATGACCTGAAAGGTGTCGGGTGAAGTCACGTGCCCCCAAAATTCCAAAAGCGCTGCCTGCGCAGCCAGGCCAAGAAAACTCCTTAACACACGCCTCGGAGCCGCAAGATGTTGCAAACCGCACAACACGCACTGACGGACTGATAATCTGAGGTCCACCGAAAAGTCGTTTGTGATGCACATTGCACATACAAGCAACCCCATGCAACAACTGAAGCATAAAAACGGGACCCCACCCAATGACGAGCACGTCTTCTGCCCCAACTAGGACAACCGTGGGATCCGCTGCTGGGAGTAGTGTGCGCTTTCGCAAATGGGTTTTGCCCCGGACGATATCGATGCTTCCAAACTAAGTCCACACACGCAGGCTCTCACATGCACCAACTTTCCTCGTGCTGCACAGGTTGAAGAAACACCCAAAACCCAAAGCTCCAAAGTCAACGCCGAGCGTAGTCCCCGAACCGTCATTGGTGTTTGAGTTTGAATCACTGCCCCACATTTCCTCAACGTATATGACCGCATTGCAATCGCAACTCCAGCCGACACTGCTTCACAGCACTGCAGTTGACCATGCCCACGAAGAGCAGCTGAAGCAATGAAATTCCAAAGTGTAGACTTATGATTCACGACAAAAAGGGATTGATAATTGTGGAGAGCAGAGCGGCGTTTCCATCAACACAGCTGCTTTTTTCCCGAATGCGAGAACTGGGAGTTAGGGAGTTGACGCGAAAGATCGCTCCGCGCAGTTCGCAAAAGCGGAAGGAGTGGCGAAAGCGGGTCCTCGAATGGGAATTCCCGCGGTGAGCTGAATCCATCGGCCCTGGATGGCGCGCAAACGAGGCGTGAATCAGGGGATCCTTGAGAAAAGTCTCTTTGAATCCTCAAACACTCCTGTGGAGTCGGTATAGGCTCTGAATGTGAACACACATGAGTCTGAGTGCATGCAAATCACGTAGCAAGATTTGCAGGACCCTACAGGCGCAAAGCTTCGGTGCAAGCGGCGAAACGCACTGGTGCCTCTTGACTTTTGACTTGTGCACCGCCTTATCTGCATCAGCTGCAGATTCGTGGTGTCAGGAAATGTCAATGCGAAGCATTCCCCATGGCAGAGCTGCACGCTATGAACTTCTTGTACGTAAGGTACTTCGAGAGACAATATCGTTAACTCCAAACCTCGTGTCGGGAAGCTGCCTGGTGGTTAAATTTGGACGAAGGCACGAGAAAGCATAACATGGCCGGAATTGGTTGACCGATACGCAGTTGTCACGACACGACTGCGGCAATGCAAACGATCCTGTTGCTCACATTGCAGATCATGTTTGGCATGATTCGTAGGCACACTACATGACCGACGACATCCGACGACCATGTCTGCTTTGACTTTGGCGTTGTTCCTACCCCGTTGGAGCTCGGAGTTGCCCCCTTCGTACTAGGTCATGATTCTGCTTAGAACGCTTCGGAAAAAGAGCATGCGACTCCCCGACATGCGCCGATGTTGCAAAGCTCAGAAGACTCGGTTCAACAGCCGTTGCAGGGTGCGATGAAAGTTAAGCTCCCGGGATCTCACAGTCTCACAGCACGCAAGCAACAAAAGCATCAACACCACTTGGGCGGAAGCTCGTTCCTTGCGGACACATGGATTGCACGCCTCGGTGAGTGGCTTCGGTGCCTCTCGAAGACGAGCAGCACGGAGGCAGAGGCCAAGGTCCGTGCCCGAGTGGCAAACAGCAGCCTGTGCACGTGAAAGGAGTACTTGAACACCAGAACGTCTGTGTCTATGTCTATGTGTGAAGGTGCCTTTGCGAAGTCGAAGTTCCGAGAAGGTCGAGCCCACCTCGCAGGCTACGGCTCAGTGAGCATTTGGCTCTCTGAGGGCAAACGCTTGCCTTGAAGTGCTCGGGCCGCATGAAGCAGAGGTTGTCTTGGAAGCGCAGGATGCCGCTGATCGTCCCAGGCCGGCTTTTGTAGCTCCGAAGTTTGCTGAGGCGCGCTGCCTGCCGTCAGTCGCGGGATGGCGACGTGTCCCTGTCCGCCTAAGCCTGTAAGCCTGTAGGCCTTCTGTAAAGTTCTGAAGTTCTGAAGCTTTGCATATGCCAAGCCAAGGCCGCCCGGCGGCCGCCCGGGCCTCTTGTCGCTGTGACCTCTGGCAGGTTTGATTCAGGAGCGCCGCGACGTCTCTCAGAGAAACGATGGCCTGAGACAGCGCATTTCACACCAGAGAGTCACAGAGAGTTTGTGTGTGTCTGTGTGCGGCATGGCCTGCTGCATGTTGACGAAGGTATTGCTCAGGCGACCAATATACTTTCCCACACCTCGAGATTTGCCTCCCTTTAGAGGGAAGCGTATTTTCTTCGCGGGTGCGTTTCGGGATGCTTTCTGGCAAGAGGCTCAAATAGATCTTGCAGAGAGCATAGAAGGTGCCCACCTCCATGGCGCCGATGCCATAGGCTTGGTACTCTGCCAGTGCAAAGGAGCCAAAGGCAAGCATCAGGCAGTATGCCACACCTCAAGGGGTCAAAGAAGATCTAGAGTCTAAAGACCAAACTTTGAAGCTTGAGTCTCTAATCTCTGAGGGCTCTGCCCTGAATCCAATGTGTAATCCAAGCCGTGTCATTCATTGCATCGCGAGCATCCCAATGAGCAGGAACAAATGAAGCCTGAAAAGGTTCTCTGAGCTGTGCAGACTTGTGGTCTTGGGAAGTTAGCCGAGCAGCATTCTGCGACAGAACGCGTGCTTCGATCTGCGCCTTCTCGGATTGCAAGAGGCCTGTGAACTGCCGCCAGCTCGTGAACACCTTGCTGCATCGGCTGAACCCGCTCTTAACTCCTGCTGAGGTCCTGTGCAGCCATTGTAGGTTGTACGTGCATCCGAGGCGCCCAGACACATGATTTGAACCAGCGGCATTCCTGCTTCTTTCTCGCCAGCACGGCCACCCATATGATTTTCATCCGGATCCATACACCAAAGAAGCCAGCCACGATCATGGCCAAAACACCGGTGACATACCATGCTGTTTGGACCCCGACGACGGTAGAGGCCTCAGGGCAACTTCTCTCGGAGAGAGCGAGCAGCGGTAAGAAATCGATTCCAAGCGACGCCGTCTGCCTGCGCGGCGAAAAGTTGCAGGGAAAGGCAAGTAACGGAGAACTTCGGAGAGATCTGATCTCCGCATATCTCCGCAGAAGTCACAAACGCTTGCGCCGGGCCGGGGCCCAGCTTGGAAACTTCGTATTTATCCTAGTCCTACACAGGACGTGCTGGCTGTCCTGCTCCAGATAGCTCCACACTGCCAGTCCCGTGACCAGCAGCACCGAAAGCAGGAGGGCCTGGTGGAAAAGCACTTTGACATGCACTGCACATCGGACACATTGGCCGACGATGGCTTTTTGCCGAGCTAAGATCTCCACAAAGCAGCTCTGTGCGAGAACGAAGACTTGGAAATACCTCTCAAGTCGAGATGCCCTCGGCTGCTCAGCCACTGGCAAAGCTGAAGGTCACGCTTTGCCGGTGATGATATCGACATCGTAGATGGCTGCATAGAGCCAATCTGTGTCGGTTGCCTTCAAGTATGATCTGGCTGGACGGAGAAGCAACAAAATTAAAAACATACGACGACAGCTGGGCTGGACGGCTGAGGGCTGGACCTCCCAGTACTCGTTGCGTTCCAGGTGCATGAACTTCCGGATCATGTCCGACCGGTGTGCCTGACAAAAAGAGAAAGCCCAAGATGGCCCAAGCGTCCCCAACTAGCCCAAGAAAGCAGCTGCCCTACAGTGGCCCCTGGGCCCGGGCCTGGCGGATGCCCCCGGTGCGGCCACGGTTCCGGGTCTGCACCACGTCGGCCCAGCGGTTCAGGCCCAGGCTCAGGAGCTGAACCAAGACCAACAGCACGCCTCAGAGTCGAGGCAAGCCGTCTTTTAGCCTCGGCTCCTAGGGCCTTAGAGGAGCTGCTCCGACCAGACATGAGGGACATAAAGACACGCACAGACACGTCGGATCTCTCTGAGGTCTCTGCATTCCAGATACCCCCAGGTGGAGTTCAAGCCGATTAACCGACCAATCGCATGGTCGACTAGCGTCTTCTGCACAAGGGTGGAAACCTGAGAGCTGGCAGACTGGTGCCAGACTCTCAGAGCTCTAGAGTTCGGCTGCATCTTGAGATCCCGACGAGCACTGAGTGCACCGGCAAGAAGACCTGAGCCCCAAGGACAGCGACACTTTCTGCAAAGGCCCGCCTCCGTCCCCGAGGCCCCCTCCATGGCGATCATGGTCTTGGTCCACTTGTCCCCCCTCCTCAAAAAGGCACGTGTCGCTCATACCCCTCCCCTCTCTCTCTCTCTCTGTTTGGTCTCCTGCTCCGGTCCGCTTTGATGAAATACCTCATCAAGCTGATGCCCTGGCCGGTCCGCATATGCCCAGGGATGTTGGCTGGCCAGGTATCCTGCAGTTTTGATCATGGGGGGGTCTTCAGAAGTGAGAGTTCTCCAAGTTTTGCAGGTTCCTCGTCGAAGACCCAAATCGTCGCTTTGGCCGGGGCTGCTTTGACGGCCATGGGGTCCCGCAGGCTCCCAAGTCGAGCCTTTAAACGGCAGCCACACACTTAGCACTTCTTCACGCCTCCACTCAAAAGACTCTTTGTTGAGCCTGGAACCAGTACGAGTTTTGCCAACAATCCTTGGCTCTGCAGACCACAGCTTCAGACGGAATCCTTTGAAACCCGCGCCTGGTGGTGAACCACGGGTATCCGAAGCACTGCTTCGCTCTGGCCCGGCGAAAACACAACCTCGAGTGCACAACGCGACAAACACAGACAGGCTAGTGTCAAATTTTGCATGTAATTGCGGACTTGACTGTGCTATCTGGCTTCCTTGGGAGTGCGGAGCACACTCAACCCTGCGAATTTCTGTAGGTGCCTAGTAGGCAAATATGAAGAACAAAATACATGTGCTCACACCCCCCGCACGACTTGTTGTAGGCAACTAGAAATGTCAATTTGACCGGACCGTCACACCAAGCTGTGAAGCTCGTGGGTTGGAACCAAGCCGCAGAGTGGCTTTGAGGATAAAAGTCCTTGTTCGCTTTCGCGCCACCCTCGCTGGCTTCCACGACAACTTCCACTTCCAACTTGGATTCCTGCCTGCGTGAGGCACAGAAAAGCAAAGATGTTCTGTCCTGCTGCGAAAAATCCTTTTGATTTGCCGCCCTGGCCCTGGCCCTGGGGGCCTGGAGCGTCGCAGGAACACCACCGCTTCTTTGGAATGCTGGAAGCAGGGGAAGCTGTGGTGCGCGAAGCTTACGAAGCTGGCCTGCAGGAGACAAGCGGCGACAAGCGGCGCGACAAGCGGGCAACGGATGCTCACAAGGAGTAACGGCTGAGTAACGGAGCCAGTCGCCTCGGCCTGGCCGTCAGCATGCCCGGCAGGCGTCCTCCACTGAGCTTCGGCAACCTCGAGTCGAACGTTAAGGCACCGGTGCCTCGAGCAACCTGCGCTGCAAGCGCGCGGCCCAGCGATCGGCACGATTCCAGAACTCGCTTGCTCGTCGCAGAGATTTCTCTGCCAAGCCTTCCCAGTCCTGACGCCAGGGCTCGGGGACCCCTCCCGGCCCCTCCAGAGGTACTCCAAGGTACTCAGGTCCTGCCTGCTTCAAGGAGACCTGGGAGACTTGCGAACTATTCCTTCGTGGACTTGCGCTCGCTGGGCTGACTGGGCTGTCCTGCAGAAACCATTCGAGACAGGAGCTCTTGCCACACTCTCACACGCACAGATGTTCACAGTGGGTCCCCGAGGTTTTTCCGCAGCTTCAGCTCTACATCGCTTCGCCAAACTGCGCCGTTCTTTTGCAAAATCCGCCGCCATTCTCTCACACCTCGCATTGCGTGGGCATCGTGTGTACAAGGCCCAAGCGGCGATGTCACACAGTGACATCGTGTGAACGCTGCCAGTTGTCCACCGAAAGGCTTAATGTGGTCGACAAGCAGGGGTTTTCCAGAAGTGCCATCGTCCCAACCTCAAAGGGTGCAACGAAAAGACTTAACGCACCATGTCCAAGGCGCTTTCACAACTGGCAGAAATCATCCACGCAAGTCACCGGAACTTCGGGAGGAACTGAAGAGTCTGCAAGTCTACAAGAGTCTACTAGGGCGTTTGAACATCAGGAACACTCTTCATGTGATGCTGTGGTCGCACCCATAATCTGCCATTCTGTATTTTGGCGGATGCGCGAGCATCGTGCTGGTCCTTCTTCAAGGAATACGTCGCAAGTTGAGTTCAACCCCACCCGGAAACGTTAACAGGAGTGAGTTCCAGTATGAGCCGCCGCCCCGTGAAGGGCCTTCCAAGATGGCAGAGTTCTGATATGCACCTGAACTACGGTTGTTGTCCACAGCTTGCGTTTGTTGTTTCCCATGCGTTCTTGAAAGCATCTCACAGGCAAGGGAAACTTCGTCTGCCGGTATCTGGGATGTTTTTGCAGCCTTGTTTTGGGACTCGGCCTTTAACAGCCGTCTGAGGCAAAGGCCGCAAGGAGCAGCAAGGCGGCCAAGGACGGGAAGGGATACCAAGAGTTCAGTGTGTCAGCGTAAAAAGGAACTTCTCGAGGCTTTGCCCACTTGGACCACTCTGCCTGACGCTCTGGAGGACACTGCAGGACACTGCTGTAGGATGTTGCAAGCGAGCCTTGCCTCGTTTTCGAGGATCCAGCTGCAAGCGACGCGGACGACGTCCTCTCAGGGGCTCGGTTTCGCGAGCCGGCCTAGCACTGCTCCCTTTAACACAGCACGAGCCGAAGCGTCAGAAACGGAGAGAGGCGAAGACGAGAGAAGAGGAAAAGAGGAAGAGAGATTTGCGCGGGCGGAGGCGCCTGGTCGCTGGGCCTTTCGGCGGCTCCGGCGAGCAAGGCTCCGAGCAGCTCCTCCATTCCGGCGCCCTCCAAGCCGCTCGCGCTCGCGCTCGCCGCAGATGACGCCGCCGAAGCTCGTTGTCCTGCTGCCACGGAGGGATCCGTCGCACTTCCCAGAGATCCGCAGTTACACATAGCTGCACCGGGCTTTGGCACCGGCCTGAGTTCTGCTGCAACGCGAACTGACTGAAGAAGTTCAGGGCGACCGAATCGGCTTTGGCGTCCAGGGACAAGAACTTTCGCATTTCTTGCTCCGGGAAGTCACAGGACCAGTGCAGGGCGTCGAGACCGTTGGAGACGCATTGATCCCTGAGTTACTGAACCGTGAGCAAGGACTTGGACAAGAACACCTAAGCAAAGGGAGCTGCGCCTGGGCAGCGTCAGCCGCAGAACAGGGATCTGCGACGGGGGAAACAGCCAAAAGACAGGTGCCATGTCATGCCACTGGCTGAATCGGGAGTCTTGGGAGTTGGACGTGCCGCAACTATCCTTGGCCAACAAGTCCAGGAAGATACCCAAGGATGAACATCACACGGGCAACGTCTTCAAACATAGTCAGTGGATAGTGCTTACAGAAAAGTGGGACTCGGCCTGCAGACAACGGGGCCTCCGAGGCAGGATGCATCCCTTCGGATCTTTTGGGGGTAAGCTTAAGGGGGAGGCTTAGGGGGCTTGATTGATATCAGTAAGGACGGGAATCAAGCCTAGCATTGCCTCAGGAAGTATCCTCCCCCTTACCACCCAGAGGCTCCTTGTGACATGGAGTCGTACCGAAGCTTTCATTGGAAAAGAATCCGAAGGTCAACCGGTCACCGACTCAAAGGAGCGCTGGGACCTGCAGCAGCCGCAAGCCTCATTTTAGGGACAGAAGCGACGAGACGCGCCGTGTTGGGAACTTCGGGGCTGCACAGCTTTGGCACAAATCCGCACGATCTGAGACCAAGAGCGTGTATAAAGCTGCGAAGGATGCCACCTTACAGTCCAGCCGCTGCTCGCTTGTGCAAATGCGCGCAGAGGTGCTTAGTTGTCTGAGCGGCATGTGCACGATGGCAGGAGCAGCGGTCGACAGCGCCTCGCCATGTGCTGCGAGTGTTGTGCCCCATGTGGGCTCGCGTGAAAACCTTGTCATGGGCCCCTTATACCCTTCCCTTTCCCAGCTGCCATTGTGCCTAACACTTAACACAGTGTTTGGTGAGTATCTACCACGCTCAAACGAGATCCTGTAGTGTCCTCAAAACCAAGCTGCCGCTTTGCCTGGGTAGCTGCAACCTCAAGGCCATTCCTGAAAGCCGGAGCCTTGAGGGTTGCCCTGTGGAGTTGCGCTACAATGCAGCCCGTAACTCGAAAATCGCCTTGCGCTTCGCCCTGGCGCGCTCTTGCGCGCACACGGTTTTAAACACATTCCACCTTGAAGCCTTGGTAAACCTTCTTACAATACTTTATCGCCCTTGCGCTCGCCCTTGTGCGCGCTTGCACCGTGCTGGCGTTGGAGCAGGTCCTAAACAACCTGCATAAAGCTATTAAAGTGCGCTGTTAGTCTACGGTCAAGAAGCAGGGGTTTAGAACAACTCTCACCTGGGTTTTGGGCTTCTAGAAACGCTAAGGAGCAAAAAAGGATCCCAAACAGATTTGAGGAAAGCACCAAAGGATCTCATTGGAACGTGGTAGATCAGATACTCACCCAACACTGTGTTGTGCGGGGCTCATCCGGGACGAGAGGACTGCAGGGACAGCAAGGACTGCAATTTGCACGAGCACCGGGAACGTAGGACTGCCGCAGGGACGGCAAAGGCTCTTCTTGAACAAGTACTCTTTGCATGGATCTGTGACCATTGGGAATGGCCTGGCAATTCCTTCAGTTTTGCACGCCTGCCTTTGTACCATCCCTTGCGTGAAGCAACTTTGCTGTTGCTATCCAGTAGTACTGGTGTTATGCATTATGATGCTCTCCGGATTGTCCCTACCTTGACACGCTGCATGTGGCCGCACTTGGGAACCTCAAAGACTCAACACTGAAGGGTACGTAAACTTTGAAGAGTTGGTGCTTTTCGGCAGTCTGCTACTTTCACTTCGGGTTTCGGCTTGGCGAAGACTCTGTCTTATGGAGTTTCCCTGGGACTTCATCCGTAGGACTACAAACCCTGACTGTCACTTGGAACCTGCAGGCCCAAAGAATCAACACTGCCTCTCGGACATAAATCAGCCGAACCTTGTCGTATCGTTTCACACATCAGACAACTCCAGGCAGTTGAAACTGCCGCTTTGTCCCTAACGTCCATAGCGTTTTTCTTACTCAACCCGATGTGCCACAATGCGCCCACGGGCCCCACCGCAGCCTCCATGGCCAGTTGTGCGTAGCGGCGAGGGCGGAGGTAGCGGAGTCCAAATCGAAAGCCGTGGCTCTGTGCAATCTCCTGGTGTGCAGAAGGGGCAGGCTGCACGGGCCGGGGCGTCAAATCCCAGTCCTCGTTGAAGCCTTCGTCTACGCCCGGCATCGCAAGCACCGCTGGCAGCACCTGACCTGTGGAAAGCAGCTGTTGACCGCTCTCGTGACCAAGCTGTTTCCCAACCTTCGTGACCAGTCGGACACCAATGAACTTCGTCGCAAGCAGCGCAACTCCGAGCACAATCCGCGCAGCAGCAACGCGAAGAACAACTCACATTGGAGTTGTTCCGAAGAGCCTTAGCAAGCACTGCTTATATCACACGCACAAAAAAGGGCAATCGGAATCCCTCAGGCCAGGAAGCTTCCCATAAGGGCAGGTTGCCAGCATGACGGACGTCGTAGGCACGGTAGAATTCGGGTGGGAGCGTGTAGCTCTCATTGCGACCGAAGCCTTCGGAGACCCACCAGCCTCGAATCGAACTGCACGTGCTTGCACCAGACACGACCGAGGTTCCATTGCCGAGAAGTGGCCGCTGTAGCCGTGATAGCCTGGTCCCACCCCCCCCCCCCTCGGGCGCGCGAGGTGCCTTC